CTCATATTGCAATTTTTGCTGTTATCAATTTATGTTTTTACCAGAGCTCATATTGCATTTTTTTGTTATCGCTTTTCTCTGGCAATCCTTATTACTGGTTCCGATATTGTATTAATTTCTATTAACCTATTTAAACATGGCACCTAGAAATAGAACAGTCTACTCCAGTGAGCGAAATAAAGGGTTCAGTTCGACATTCCAACCACCTGAGGAAGCCCGGAGCGTACAACGGCCGAATCGTTGTAATAAATATAGTGACAAAGATGAGGACAATAGTCCGAATAATGTAAACAGATACTGAATTGTATAAACATGGCATCTGAGGACAATAGTCCGAATAATAAATAGATGTACATAATACCTCATCTCAGACATATAGAAGATACTGAAAGGCCGAAACGTTGTAATAAATATGGCGACAAAAAATAAATAGTCCGATAATGTAAAAATGTACAAAGAAATATAGAGGAAAGGCAAACGTCCGAATAGGACAATAGTCCGAATAATGTAAATAATGTAAACAATACTCATCTCAGACATATAGACAGATACTGACTGAAAGGCCCGAAATGTTGTAATAAATATGGCGACAAAATGAGGACAATAGTCCGAATAATGTAAAAATGTACATAATACATACCTCATCTCAGAAATATAGACAGATACTGAAAGGCCGAAACGTTGTAATAAATATGGAAACAAAGATGAGGACAATAGTCCGAATAATGTAAAAACGTAATAAATAAACAATAATACCTCATATCAGACATATAGACAGATACTGAAAGGCCGAAACGTTGTAATAAATATGGCGACAAAGATAGGACAAAGTCCGAATGAGGAAACAATAGTCCGAAACGTTGTGTAAATAGGAAACAAAGATGAGGACAATAAATGAATGTACCTCATCTCAGAAATATAGACAGATAATGAAAGGCCGAAACGTTGTAATAAATATGGAAAACAAGTTGTAATAAATATGGAAACAAAGATGATCTCAGAAATATAGACAATAGTCCGAATGATGTAAAAATGTACATAATAATCATCTCAGAAATATAGACAGATACTGAAAGGCCGAAACGTTGTAATAAATATGGCGACAAAGATGAGGACAATAGTCCGAATAATGTAAATAGTGTACATAATACCTCATCTCAGAAATATAGACAGATACTGAAAGGCCGAAATGGAAACAAAGATGAGGACAATAGTCCGAATAATGTAAATAGTGTACATAATACCCTCATCTCAGACATACAGATACTGAAAGGCATAATACCTCATCTTATGTATATAGACAGATACTGAAGAGGCCGAAACGTTGTAATAAATATGGAAACAAAGATGAGGACAATAGTCCGAATAATGTAAATAGTGTACATAATACCTCATCTCAGAAATATAGACAGATACTGAAAGGCCGAAACGTTGTAATAAATATGGACAAAGATGAAAAAGAATAATGAGGAAATATAGACAGATACTCCGAAACGTGATGTAAAATAGTGTACATAATACCTCATCTCATATAGACAGATACTGAAAGGCCGAAATAGTTGTCATAAATATGGAAACAATGATAGGACAATAGAATAATGGGTACATATCTCTCAAAATATAGACAGATACTGAAAGGCCGAAACGTTGTAATAAATATGGAAACAAAGATGAGGACAATAGTCCGAATAATGTAAATAGTGTACATAATAAATCATCTCAGAAATATAGAAAATATTGAAATGATAAATATGGCGAAAAGATGAGGACCCGAAAATGTTGTAATAAAGCTCATCTCAGAAATATAAAGAAAATAAATATGAAACAAAGATGAGGACAATAGTCCGAATGATGTAAATAGTGTACATAATACCTCATCTCAGACATATAGAGAGATACTGAAAGGCCGAAACTTTATTTTTGGTTTGATCTGAGTCTTGTAAAGTTATTGCATGGCAGGTGGTGTTTACATTCTAGAGCAGAGTATAAAGAACCGACATTTTTTTCGACCTCTTTAGCGATGGATCGCAGTAAAAAAATTTCTTGAAGTCCTCGGGTCATATTAGAACATGCAATAAAATTTTTCTCTTGAGTATGACATTTTTACGGTACTTTATACAAGGGTTTGGACTATTTTGGTTCTGTCGTTGTCTTTTATTTATTAAGGAAGGACATTATTATTTTGCTTTCGATGGCGGAAGCGGTTCAAATCGTCATCTTTTCGAGATGAGAAGGGCTGAACCCTTTTCGGTATTGTTGTTTATATGAAAAACATTTTATGGCCGCCTTGGGGGTGGGGAATTCCTTAGCGCACACTAACATTAAAAAAAATGCCAACACCCAAAATCTAAACACGACTCGTGTGAACAGAAACACACGTGTGTGCTGTGCATATATATGTATGCACACACACACACACACACCACGTGTACATTGTTAGCATATCAATGTATATATATGACTATATCACGTCCAAAAATCGGTTCCAGTACAATAACAGAAGTTAAGCAACGTCGAGTCTGGTTAATACCTAGATGAGTAACTGCTTGGGAATACCAGGTGCTGTAGGCTTGGATATGCGCGTTGTGTAATGGTGATAAAATGGCTCGGATTTGTTAATCGGAGAGCCGAGTTCCAATTCAAGTTGGGTTCGTTATATTTGTTTACGCGCAAATACTCTTGAGAAAGTTATGAATCTACCTTTTCTCCTCCAGCTATGGGTTAATTAGTTGAAATTGTATCAGTAAATCATTAGGAACTTCGAAAGAAATCTTACAACATAAAAATGTTTTCTGGCTTAAAATAACCTGAAAAACTCGTAAAAAGCAAAACCAATCGTGTGTGTGTGTGTGTGTGTGTGTGTGCGTGCGTGCGTATGTGCATATATATATATATATATATATATATATATATATATATATTATAGCTGAATTCGAGGATAATCGTCTACTAGGACGCCTAGCCAATCCCTATTGCAGACGTTTGCTCTGGCGCATATGTGTTTATTCAGCACCCACAGAGCCCACCTGTGGTTTATACTGCAACTATGCTGAGCAGACTTTAGTTACAGCTTCTGGGTTAAGAGCGTGTTATTTAGTGTGATCAACAATCAGCTAGCGACATTATATATATATATATATATATATATATATATATATATATTGTTTATAATTAGGCAGCAATTTTTCATTAATGCATGTTTCATTAAATAATATAGACAAGTTTTGTCTGTTTATTTTAAGTAAGTTCCTTTCATATTGTCTGATAAGCTTAATAACATTATCATTGAAGGACGAAAGGAAATCACCATATTGATACATGTTTAAATCCAATCTAAGCTTTCGTCTTACATAAGCCATAATGAAAGATGACAATTACATTTCAATATATCAAACACACGGACGAAACAATAATGATAGTCTATTTTTGTTGCATGAAAAATTTCAAAGCAACGAGAAACTCGTGTATACGAGACGCGGAAGCGAAAATCGCGTCGCCGATCGTGACGTCACACATGACCACGCGAGAGTGAAAACGAGAAGTATTAAGTATGGGAAGCCGTTGGTATAAACCAATGGCTTCTGTTATCAATTATAGGCATTTAAGAATATTTGTTGATATTTCGTAGTTTATTTTGTTCAGGTTAGCTTTCAAGTGTTTTATGTATATAACTTCAAGAATTTTTAGTTTTTGTTTATTGTTTTCATTTTTAAGTATAGTTGTATTTTCAACAAGGATTTTCCGGAATTCTGTACGCGGCCAGGCATGTTGTTTTAAATGCCAAATAATGTTAGTTATCATTCAAATGTAGAGTCAAGCGTCGTGAAAGCGAGTTTGTGGCGTGACCAACATAACTTCTCGTTTTCGCTCTCACGTGATCATGTGAGCCTGATCTGGCTCTTATAAAGGTAGAGGAGTGAGATGGATCGTATATAAGAGTTCCACTTGAGGTCGGGTGTGAGTTTGAGGCCAAATATTCTCTCAAAGGTGACTTCTCGAGGGGATATCAGTTCATCGTGGCTGGCAGTAGTTCGGAATCTGATTAGGGTCTGATTGGCGGTGATGAAATGTAACTAATTTGGTTTTAGAGGCATTGAATGTAAACAGCTAGCCTCCCCTAACCCACGTGAGGTTAGTGCTAGATTGGAAGAGATATTAGCTGTCAATTTCTGATTGTCAAGAGTTTTAGAGGTGCGAGAAGTATTAAGTATGGGAAGCCGTTGGTATAAACCAATAGCTTCTGTTATCAATTATAGGCATTTAAGTATATTTGTGAAGATTTCATAGTTTATTTTGTTCAGGTTTAAACTGTTTTATGTATAAAACTTCAAGAATTTTTAGTTTTTGTTTATTGTTTTCATGTTTAAGTATAGTTGTATTTTCAACAAGGATTTTCCGGAATTCTGTACGCGGCCAGACATGTTGTTTTAAATGCCTAAAATGTGCGTGTGTGTGTCGGTAAAATTTCAGTTATAACTAAAACTATATCTGTAAAAGGCCTATATGAATAAAGACATAACTAAAACTTAGCCGACACGTTTTTTCTTCTGATCGACTTTATCAAGGAAACTTTAAGGATTTTATTTTGCAACAAGTATTTATAAACAAAAGAAAAAAATATCGTTAGATTTTGAAAATTTGGAGATCTAAGAACGCTAATAAATACACAGCAGACTAACTGAAAAGTCCTAGATGCTAAGTTAGGTAATTTAATATCTAATAAACAAAAGTTAGTAAAAGTCGTTGTTGTTGTTGTTGTTGTTGTTGTTGTTGGCTTTTTCATATATAATCTAATTATTACTTTAAATTTATATTATTTTAGTTTGGGATTAATTTATTTAAAATAACGAGGTTATGAATTTAACAGTTTAAATTGTTTTAAAAGAAAGATTTTTTTAAAAATAAAAGGTTTTATTGCCTAATTTATCTTGTTATAAAGTTGGCGTTTGAAGTCAGATTTCGTAATGTAATATTTAATATCCTTTTAATTTAATACAGGCTTACGGCTATACCACGTTAAAATACCGGTTCCTGTACGATCATCGAGGTTAAGCAACGTCAAGCCTGGTCAGTACCTAGATGGGTGAGTGCTTGGGAATACCAGGTGCTGTAGGCTTAGATATGCGGGTGGTGTAAGGGTGATAATGGATGGGAATTGTTAATCGGAGAACCGAGTTCCAACTCCACTCGGGTATGTTATATTGACTTATACGCAAATACCATCGGGAAAGGTATGAATCCACCTCTTCAGCCCCCATCTATGTGTTAATCAAACAGACTTTTATCGCTAAATCCTTATTATCTAAAAAAGACAAAACATCATTACAATGTAAAAGAATATTTTCTAGCTTTAAATAACCTGCAAAGGCCGTTGTACGCTCCAGCCTTCTTCAGGTGATATTTGATGAAATTTTGAGCCGAACCCTTTATTTAGTACACGGAGGTAGATTGCTCTACTTCCACGTGCCATGCCTATTTTTGGATATCTCAGTTTTAGTTAATTCGCCTTGATAATTCGTCAAGTTATTGTTCCCCTCTACTTAGGCCAGGTAATAAACTCGCAACACTTTCGATCAAGTCACTTTTGAATCAATGTTTTTATCTACTGTGAGTCGTGAGTTCAATACCTGGCCACAGCATAGAGAACAAAAACTTGAAGAGTTCAGTTAATAAAGGGAATTAACTGATATTAAGATATCCAAAAGACATGATACGTGGAATTAGAAAAAATATCTTTCCTTGTCTTTGTAACGGCATTCAGCCGAGGTGGGTTGAGTCGGCTCCAATATTGGAGTTTCATGGGAATTTGGAATTCACAAGCGGTCCCCAACCCGCATGTATAATTAGAACAATATCCCCACTTATCGTAATAAGCTTTTCCATTTATGATTAGTAAGTATAGTTTTTACTTAATAGCAATATCACCTAACTAGTACAAATTAATACAGAAATTTAAAATATTTAAAACTTTGTGTATTATTTTAATTAAAATTGAAAAAAATGAAAACAATTTTTATAAATACTCAGAAAAACAAACTGTTTTTTCTCCGGACAGTATTGTCCATAATATATCTTATTAATAAAAGCAATTAAAATCTTCTCTAATTAAATAGTGTCTTAGTTTTATTACAGTTTTTATTTTATGATTCAGAGCAGGTTTTCGGTAACTGGAGCACCTGTTTTACAAAAAAAAAAAAAAAAAAATTAGTGATTTAAACTCTCCAAGGAGTTCTGGGTATATCATATATAAACATTAAGTAGTACAAAAGTAAATTTCTCGAAATTTCATCAAATTAAATAAATGGGGGTTAACAGGTGTGACAAGAAATGTTTTTAACAAGATTTTCTAAAAAAAGAAACATTTCTAAAATAATTTAATTCATTTGTGAATAAGTTCTGAAAGTTTCATGCACCAGAGAGAGGGATTGGTTCTCGCACCGAGGCCAGCACAACCGACGGTTGCGGGGGGCTCGAGCAATTTTTGTTCCTAGCCCGGGTGTATGCGCTCGGGCTGTCCACATTAAACCGACCTTGTGTCACAACCTGACCTCGTGGGGGGGGGGAGGATGAGTAATTACAAATTATTTAGAAATCAATGCCAAAAAGACGTCAAAATTCCCTATACTAATATGTATGCTGACGCGAGAGAGAGAAAAAAAAGATTTTTAAGCAAAATTTCGAACATTCTAAAAATGATAAAAAATAGGAATAATCAAAAAATCCTTTTGTCTTTCCCCTTATGATAACAAAATTTTGCTTTCCTACCAACTCAAAAATAGGCGCAATTTAAAAAAAAAGAACAAGACGACCACTGCACAAAATTTGATAAGGAACAACATATTTATTTACAATCACAAATTGGAAAAGTAGCAGACAAGGGTTGCACAAATATCTCCTATTGTGCGCCTCATTTGGCAGGATAACAATTTGAGGCAATAAAAAGACACCACACAGAAACAGGAAAAATACAATTCACGAAAAATATTGATAAGACAAACGGATTCGTCTACAAAATATGTCCATTCAAAAATACAAAAATAAGAGAAAACTCGAGGTAAGAGTATTTACATTATTCAGACTATTGTCCATATTTATTACAACGTTTCGGCCTTCTTCAGGTGTCGAACTGAACCCTTTATTTCGCTCGCTGGGTCCTGTCACTGGATCTAACCAACGCTTTTATCCATTGTGACATGTGATAGGACCCAAAGAGCTGTGAGTTAAGGCAGTGGAGAACTTGGAGAGGGGAATTAAGAGGAGATAAATGATATCCATTAGACATGACACCTCGAACTAGAACAATCTACCCCAGCGTATCCACTCTACCACGTGACAGGACCCAAAGACTTGGGAGTTCAATACCTGGTTAAGGCAGTGGAGAACTTGGAGAGGGGAATTAACAGGAGATAACTAATAACTGACATCCATTAGACATGGCACGTGTAACTAGAACAGTCTACCCCACCGTGCGAAATAAGAAGTTCACTTCGACATTCCAACCACCTGAAGAAGGCCGGAGCGTACAACGACCGAAACGTTGTGATAAATATGGCGACAAAGATGAGGACAATAGTCTGAATAATGTAAATAGTGTACATAATACCTCATCTCAGAAATATAGACAGATCCTCGAGGCAAGAGGATTTGCATTATGGCACAAAGCACAATCCTTTTAAAATACACCAACCTCTGCCGTATTGGCTATGTAAATTACCTCTCAGCTCGAAGGGGATCTTGTAGGTTCTGGGGTGTGAAATTTGTTCTACGAATTTGCATTGGATCTGTCACGTCAGATTTATAACCTTTCACTGGACTGTCCTGTTATGTAATGTCTTGTGAAATCTGTCCCGGCCGAAGTTGACGCTCTGTCGTATTCTTTTCAACTCTCTTCTCCGACCCAACTGTTGACAAAAGTCCTTTTTATTCTCAATGGGGTCATAAAATTCTGCTCCAGTCAAAATTCCCATTGGCCAATATATGTTACAACCCCTTCCGAGTATTCAAAATTATATTCACAACATCTTGGCGCTTCGCCGCTTGAGCCTAAAAGGTCATAAAAAATGCCTTTAATTTTTTTTTTTTTTTTTTTTACAAAATAAAATTTTTATAAATAAACCTATCCCATCCTAGCCATTTCAAATACTAACTATTCTGTATAGAGGGCTGTTTAACGACTAACGATCAGTTTTTAGCAGAATAAAACAATATTTATTTTGTAAAGATTTAAAAAAAAAAGTGGCGCAAGGCCAAAAGCAGGGATGAAGAAAACTGGTTTTCTTTTGTTTTAATTCTTGAGTTAATATTTGGCTTTGTTTTTTCATTACGCCTCTTAATAACATACAGATCTTGAGAATAAAACTTTGTTTTTATTAAGTTTGGGGCATTTTTTCATGATGTATGCTCATTTTTTTGCGAATCAGTGGAGGTACCTACTATACACTATCATATCTGTTAACAAATGCCTGAATCTTAAAAAAGAAAGCGAAAAAAACCCCGGTCTAATCCAAAATTAACCTCTTCCTAACGACCGATAAAATTTAAAAAATTTGCCGACTCATTACACAAAAAAGTTATTTCACTTTCGACAATGATAAATTATTAAGGAAAAATTATTAAGCAAATTTGCTTTTAGTTTTTATCACAGAAAAAAAACGAATTTCTTCATTCAAATTGATTCTTTATCTTTAACATTACTGCTAAAAGAAATGTATTTAAATTTAAAATAAAATTTAAGATTGTTCAAAACATTCATAAATTCCTTAAGTTTTTGTATTTTCCAATTATGTTCTCTGTCTATTATTTCAACCTTATCCCACAGGGAGCGGTGATCTTTCTTTTCCCTCTATATGTGGTCAGCTACGCCTGATTTTTCTATTTCCCCTCGTGTTACGGTTTAACGATGTTCCTGCAGTCTTACCTTAAGCAGGTGACCTGTTTTGTATTTCTTACTTACGGGATGGCGTACACATGGTCCTTAGTCCTGTTCTCCTCTAGGTGGGGTCTTACTTGGAAGAGGTGTCTACGAAGTGTCGAACCACTTTTGAAGGTCGTCCTGATATTATATGGACTACAGATCTTTTGTATTTTTCCCGATAATCCATTCACATAGGGTAGGCAGGCCGAAGCTGTTTTCTGAGTGTTGTTATCCTCTTGTACCCTTCTATCCCAGTTTGTCGGAGCTGCTGTCATGTACCCAGGGTAGTTGTTATGTTGTAGGGTACTGCATATACTGATCATTTCCTAATCATATGTCTCTGTGTTGTCACTTATGACTTTTGTTCAGTATTGTAAGCAGCAGACGATTGAAATAATAGACAAACATAACTGGAAAATACGAAAACTAAAGGAATCAGCACATATGCTAGGCCGCAAAAAATCTCCTAAACCAACTCTCATAAATATCTATATAAATAAATGCGAATTTGGAGCTCATTTCTTCCACAGAATTCTGGGGTTAAAAGAGCCCAAACACTATTTTATAGTAATTTGTTATTTACTCGACACCCCACGAAGTCACGTTGTGACACAAGGTCGGTCTCATATGGGGAGCCCGAGCGCGTACACCCGGGCTAGGAACAAAAATTCCCCGTTGGTTTCGCTGGCCTCGGTGCGAGCACTGATCCCTCTCTCTAGTGCAATGAGAGGGCGCGTCCACGGGCAGCTGTACCCCAGGGCTGGGCACCTCTCAGTATAATTTTCCTTACTTGAGAATCTGTCTTTTGACGGAGCCGCCCCTGGGCGCATTCTGCCCAAAGACAGAGATGCAACTGAAAGATGATAAACAAACATTTTATAAACTGTTTTATAGTAATTTGGTATTTACTCAACCCCCCTCATATATATATATATATATATATATATATATATATATATATATATATATATATATATATATATATGTGTGTGTGTGTGTGTGAAAAGTGTATATAAATATAAATAAATATATATATGTATAATTATTTATATATTATATATGCGTACTTATTAGAAAGCGCTCAATATCAGAGATAGAGCTAACATATTTGGTTGGATAGATGTGAGTTTGTGACCCTGGGTTTCACGCTTTAGCGATCGTCAGACAAACACTATATATATTGCTCTATGGATAGAGTAA